TGTCATCTGTTTGTGTGTTTTATTGTCTTTGTACTTATTTATTAGATTATTAAAGCTGCATTCTTTAGCAGCCAGCAGGGGGCGACTCCAGCGGCTGTAGAAAGAAAATGTTTCTACTTGTCAGCTGATTTATTCCCTCAGTAAACACTTTCCTGATGAGTTTATGGTCTCAGTCGCTAGTTTCAAGTCTTCTTCAACACAGCATGATGTTCATTTAGTAATTATGGTCCCATTTAGAGGAACAGAGACCAGGAAGCAGGGGAGGCTTTAGGGCGGGGTTACAAGCTGATTGACAGGTCTCCACCATGGCGACCTGTCAATCAGCATAGAGGCGACTCGTATCAAGACGGCACGTCATATAGTCTGCACTATAGGCATAACGTGGCACTAAATGCTGCAAAACCAAAATCATTTACAAAAAAATAACAAGCCCTGACAACAGTGAGTTAAACCACTGAATACATAATACATGTGCTGTATAGTTCATACATAAACATAGTGTGGAGTTGACTTCCCATGTGTAAAATACAACCAAGCCATTTGCATTTTAATATTTTCAAATCCTCACACACATTTGTCTATGCTGTTCATAACAGCAGACAGCAAAAGTCACATTAAAAAGACAGCCAATAACTTACATTAAAGAATTCTTTTTTATCTGTCAACTAATAATAAATCAACAAAAAAAACGAATAATTCATACACTGTAAAAGCCTGAGAACACTTTTACACATTTGCAGAAGGTTTAGCTACAGTTGTCTCTCACTTCACAGTAAAAATGTCAGAAGCGGGGTGAAGAGAAGAAGCAATAATGTAAGATCTGCGCAGGAAAACATCAAAGAACTATATTTTGTACTTCAAACAGACAGTATTTGCATATATGCACACTGGAGTTCCTTATTAAAGTCTGATGCTGCTGATGGAGAGGAGTCAGTGTGTCAGGAGGGAAACGTACTGAGCGGAGGCCGCTGATGAAACAGCTGTTAGAGAGTTTAAACAACATGGTGTCTCTCCAAAGTCGTCACATATGGACGCATATTCAAGACTCCCTGTAATGCACGGGGAAGCCCTGTAGCATCACAGTTCACCTCACAGGGGGAAACCATCCATACACCGTCAACTGCTTATCCTGCGTACAGGGTCGCAGGGGGCTGGAGCCAATCCCAGCTGACGTCGCGCGAAAGGCGGGGTTCACCCTGGACACGTTGCCAGTCCATCGCAGGACCACAACAACCACTCACGCTCACACCTAGGGACAATTTAGGGTCACCAATTAACCTAGTCCGCATGTCTTTGGATGGTGGGAGGAAGCCGGAGCACCCGGAGAACCCACGCAGACACGGGGAGAACAAGCAAACTCCACACAGAAAGGCAGAGGAAACCGGGGATTGAACCCGCAACCTTCTTGCTGTGAGGTATATGAAAAACAAAAGTCTCGTGGTGGGTCAGAAACTGGTGCTCGTTTTCTGTGTGAAACAAAAAGTTAAAATAGATTGTTTTTAGTCATGTTATGTAAGTAATGTTACTTAATTTAAGACACATAACACAGTTATTTTAACCCAAACCATCCTAAACCTAACCAAGTGGATTTGGTGCCTAAACCTTATCAAATTCAAGTTCACAATGTTAACCACTAGTTTTATTATGAAAGTCTAACTGGACGTTTCATTTCATCCTAACTTGACCAGGGAGCCCTACATGACTAAATCTACGCTAAAGGGTACCAGGACACAAAGGGGTCTTAATCAAGCATCCATATGTGACGAGTTGGGAATGATGTGCTGGTTTAAATGGGATCGCCATGGGTTTGGGTTCTGAGATGTAATGAACTCTGCAGAGGCCCAGAAACTTTATAACCTGCTTACACTTCTCCACAGATCGAACATATATCCAGCACCAAGTGTCTCGCTCGCCGTCCATCCAGTAGTTAAAAGGGTTTAGCGTTCTTCTTCAACAACCTTTGGACTGGAGGAAGGCCGGGAAAACCAAGTCAGATGGAAGAAAACAAACTCATACATGTGGTTAAGTGTAAACAAAAAGTGTAGTGGCTCCAATTAATTATTTTTTTTCTAATAACACTGTATGAAATGACTATAGGCAGGTATAAATCCAAAGTTAGTGCAAATTATAATCAAATTTCCAAAATACTGGCAAAACAAAATGGGTCTTAAAGGGCATTTCCATCTATTGCATTATGCAAATATTAGGATATGTCGTGCATACTTTCCCATCGCCATTAAAACATTGCAGAAGTTCAGGGTGCAATGAGATGACGTCATTCAAAGAGCAACCACTGGTAGAAAACACTACAGAAATATGACGATTCTGTTTCGTGAGGAAGGTCTCCGCAGCTCTTCCCTTCATGCAGGTTGTCAATTATTCACTGATTCAAGTTTGTTTCCACTGCACATTCTGCTTTAACAATAAAGCAACTTTTGTAACTAAGCCAAGCGTTTTACAACATCTCAAATTTCCAACATTTCCACATAAAAAACAGCTGGGTAGAAACCAACCTAGTGTATAATGTGAAAGGTGTCTGCAGAGAACTGTCCCCTGAATCTGCAGCTCCTCTGCAGTGTTAAGGAGCTTTATAGCAACTTTCAGCTCATACAGCCTCCTGTTCTGATTCACTCTCAGAGCACCGTTTTCAGAGAAGAAGCTGTAAAAATCCTCCGTACACGTCCTGCTCGTACCCGTCAGCCCTCTCGCTTCTCTGGGATTCTCCCGAATTTGACCAGTCCTTCCTGCTGTCCATATTTTTAAAAACTTTCTTATAAAAACAAAAAAACACTTGCCGCATTTGATACGTTTGCCACGTTGAAGGTGTCAGTATATAGAACATCAGCTGTAACCTCTTATCAATCACTCAAATGGCAAGAAGAAGAAGAAGAAGGCGGCGGCGGCTCGGCAGTGGCAAGGGTTTAAGGGTGGATGACCGTCAGATGGTTGGAGTACCTTTTCTAACATTTAGTGCAAGTCTCTCACCAAATGGGAGGAATTTCTCTCACTCTCTCCCTCTCCTGTCCCTTTTCATAAGAACTCTGTTCTACCACTTGTCTCACTTTAACCAGTAACCTGCTTCAAACTCACACGTGGAGCCCAGTGTGTCAGTGATCTATGCAGATCAGACACAGTGAGAGAGCAGCTGGTGAACAGCGTGGAGCATTTAGCAGCTACAGAGCCAGATAAGACAGAGTACTGGACTCAGGTGACAAACAAACAAACAATCATCAGCACGAGGCATCATGTTGCTCTGTAGCTGCTGGAGGTGGAGATAATAATAATGAAGCAGCTGTTTGCTAACAAGGTGACGATATGTCAACGTTCACAACATTTATCTGGATGTGAGAGGACTTGCTGGCTTGAGTGACAGTGAGGGACGGTGCTGCAGGATTCGGGATTCAGCTGCTTCTGGGATGTGAACTTGTCTGACCTTTTGCCAGCACTCAGTGAGAGGAACTTCAAACAGGTGTTTTGCAAGTAAAACACTTGTGATGTCTCTTGAATAGTAGCATTAAGTCTGTCACGCATAATCCCTGCGCTGTCCTTAATTTCCTCCAGGCTCACAGACTTCACAGAGAGCTCATCATCACATCCAGGATAACATAATCCACCCACACAAACAGCTGTCTGTCAGAGCCTTCAGTCCACATTCACCCTCCGCGCTGGATTCTCTGTGACGCGTGTGGCAGTAAAGACTCTGGATCTTCTGCAGCTAGGCCAGCTAATGGGAAAAGTAAGCAAGCTTCTCCTCTGTTCTGGGTTCAGCGGTTAGTTTTTCTAAAGTTTCACATCTTGGATCTATTTTTGTTGTCCTACCAGCCCATTCTCAATCCCAGACTCGTCAAATATGGACCCATGGCCAAGGCCTATCAGCGTATGTAACGCACTGGGGATCTATAGCGTCATAGGTCAGCGCAGTGGGGGAAGCCCTGTGGCGTCAGTTTGTGACGGTAAAGGCAGGTATACTGTAGAGGAAATGCGTTGATGTCACTTCCCCTGCCAGAACACGCTGGACTGAGTGGCAAAACATCTGTTACCGTGGCTGCGTTTAGCAAACCGGAAGTAAAACAAGTGATTATTTGGTCAAATTAACGGCAGTCCGACTCGACAGTGATCCTTACTGCTTAACAAAGAACCGGCGGTCCAGCTCGTTCCCATTTGTGATGTGTTGTTTGTGTTTTAGCTGATTCAAGCTAACACTGCTGCTTGTCTTTCTGGCACTCAGTGAGCGTAACTGCGTTCTGTGATGTCATGCGCACACCCTCTATATGATATTTAACATGAGGTGTTCATGTCCCGTGTGAAACAGAACGTCCACATTAAGTATTTTTATATAAGTTAGGCAAGTGATGTTAGTTAACGTAAGTTATTTTAATCCAAACCATGATCTTTTCGAGCCTAAACTTTCACAACTTTAATAACGAGCAGTTTCAAAATGCTGATGAATCGAAACACTAGTGTTTTATTTTGAAAGTCTAACCGGACGTTGCATATGTATTGTTGCTAACTTGACCGGGGAGCCTTAAACGTCTAAAAAGGGCCAAAGGGCCTTGACCCAGCGTCATATATGTGACGAGTCGGGAGAGAGAACGTGTTGGTCCTACCCGTCATCAGAGATGTATCGCAGTACTGACCTTTTTGTTTTTTGATGCTGATGCATGGATTCCACATTTTGCTTATTGCAAAACATGGTGTTGTTTTTGAATCCCTTAAATATGTGTTGAAATATTACATTACGTCTGGTAATGCATATGAGAGCATGATTAATTATTTATGCGTCTTGCTGTTTTGCTCTAACTCCTGCTAGGCTCTGTACAAATGAATTTAGTTTGTTTGTTAGAAGCTAAACTTGAAATAAGTTCTTATTTTCTTTATTCCATTTCAGAAGGTTCCTGGATCTGTTACCTGCCTCTAACCTGTAACAGGTCAGTTGAACCTGTGAGGATCAATAAAGTCATATTTTCTTCATGTTACCATTAATTCAACTGCGTATAAAGTTATGATCCTTTAGATTTTCATGAAATCAAACTACATTTGATTTTATTTAGCAATAATTATTCAGTGGATTCACAATCAGTAGTCATATCTCTCTGCATTTGTCCCAAATGCTATATGCAGTGAACCCAAAGGCAGAACACAGAGACCAAAGACGGAACCTAAGTACCAGAGTTTATTGCCACAACAGGAAGCAGGGAGAGGGGTTCGGACCAGGGAGCAGAGCCAGGTGAGCCAGTCCAAAGGAGGATTTGCTGGGCAGAAGCGGGACTGAGGCGGGACACGAACAAGGACTGTCCATAAGCAAAGAGACAGGCGTTAAACAGGACGCAAAATACTGAGCATGACAAAAAGGCTTTGACGAGACCAACAAGACCTACGATCTGGCAGCGTGGAGATGTGGAGGCCCAGCATGTGAAGCAGAGGAGGAGGATGATTACAGGCAGCTGCCAACTCCAGCACACCTGAACCCACTCCTGCAATCAAGCACACCGACCAACAGAAAGAGAGACAGAATGAAGGAGCAGGGACAGAGGGCACGAAGGTATGACTGTTTACTGACAGTGGTGAAGGACTAAAATCTTTAATGACAATATTTGTTTTGCAGATTCTAAGTGAGAAACATACACTCCCTGTAAAGCCGTTGTCACGCAGGGATATGACCTTTAAAGCCTGCGTGGCACAATTTAAAAAAACCTGAACATCACATACAAAAATGAACAAACTATTTAGTGAAATGAGGCAAAAATCTGCTTAAACTTATCAGAAATTTAAATGCAGAAGAGGTTCAAGTTCAAAAGAAAAGCTAGGATTTTAGAAATACAGAGAATATTCAGAGAAAGTACAAATTCTCCTGGCAGAACCCCACCCTACATGTTTTTGACCAGCCACCAACCAAACTCTGTACATTTATTATTTGTATTTTGGATGAAATTATTTTATTGATTCATTTCACATTAACTGTTTAATCAGATGTGTGTGTGTGTGTGTGTGTGTGTGTGTGTGTGTGTGTGTGTGTGTGTGTGTGTGTGTGTGTGTGTGTGTGTGTGTGTGTGTGTGTGTGTGTGTAGTCTGTTTGGTGAAGGATACTGAATTGCTTTCATTTAAATAGCAAATAGAAAAACTAGCATGTACATGTTCATGTGCAGCATGAGTGTAATCAGAGAACACAAGGTCTTTATAATCCACCCAAACTGTCAGAAAGATTACCGAGGGTGTGACCTTTGAAATGTCCTGTGTGCAGCCTGGAGGGTTCATTTATAGCCTCACCTAATTACACTTAATTTTGAGTCACCAAACGGACAAGAAAATAAACTGCAGGGTGTGTCTGGCTGCTGTTGTTTACTTCAGGAAAAGGACGCTGTGGAAAAGCAGCCACTTGCCTGCTTGTTTAAAGAAACAACACTGGAGCCGTTTGCCCTCAGTGGAGCGTCCGACTGCTTATTTCTGCTCATTATGGTTTTTTCCATCCCGGTCTGAGGGCGGCCGTAGCGCTGCGGACTTCCTGCCAAATGTGTGCCCTAGTTGCAGTTGGCAGCCCTTCTCAGGCCACAGTCCAATGTACACAGTGCACCTGTCAGGCCTGACAGGACAGCCCTGTTTCTACCTGCCAGGGGGAAAATGCAGCGATGGAGGCTTTTGCTTTATAAAAAGGTCTTCACTTACAGTCTGTAAACTATCAGCAGAACGATGGGCAGAGCCTGGGACAGGATCAGGGGTGTCACTGAACTTGTGTCTGTTATGACTCACAAAGTAAAGTGACAAACCGAAGCAAACCTGTTGGCATCGCTTCTGAAAGTCTCTTTAAACCAAAGCACAAACTGTCTGAAGCTTTAAGTATTTAAAATCTCTTCTTACATGAACCATTTCTATCTAGGGTCACTACCAAACATTTTTCTCCCGCAGGGTTACAACTAGTGGTCGACCGATATTCAGAGAGCAGGGCGGTCGATGGCTGATTGTAGAATGAAAGTTATGAATAATTCCATTGATACCTGCAGAGTAGAGAGCTGGATTGGGACCCAACACAAATCACGCGGGAGCGGGCGGTTTTAACTCTGCTGAGGGCGGGAGTGGGCGGTTAAAAAATATACTGTAGGTCCCGCAGTAGCACTAATAAGATGGAGTCATGACCTGACTCGGGCCTGTCAGCTCGGGCCTGACTCAAACCGGCGACCTCAGGTACGGGAGGGGGACACGTTGACGAGGGAGCTAAAGCTCGTGGCCACTGACATCAGTCGCCAGGACGTTATTATTGCAGAAACTTGAAAGCAACGTCCATACTGTGTGAAGACATTGTTCACCGTGTCGTCACGGAGCTAGCCAGACCCTACTGCGAGTCTCATTGTCATGGACAACTTCTGCTCAGGGGTGGAGCTTTTCCAGGACACGAAGAGCCATGGACTGTGCTCACAAAAAAGGGACTCCCAAAAAACGAAATGCTGACCGAGCAAGCTAAATTAGACAAACATGAATTCAGAGTGGCTCAAAAAGACGACCTCACTTTCTGTGTTTGGGTCAGTGGAGAGAAGGAAGCAAGAGCGTAACCAAACTGAGGTGGCAGTGCCAGCATGCCTTCCTGACTACTGCAACATTTGAAAGGTGTGGGTTTGCTGGATCAGATGATTGGATATATTCAGTTCCAGCGTCACTCAAGAAATGCCAGAAATGCCTCTTCTTGGCCGTCTGATGCTACAATGCAAAGTGTGCTGGTGGACAAACATTCACAGCCAAACAAGAGTGACCGGAGGACCTGGCGCAGGAACGTTACCCCAGCAACAGCAAGGAGCGCTCCTCAACCAGCATTTCCACATCTGAGCGGAACTTTCAGAAACTCTATGACAAGAGAAAATCTGCAGGGAGTGTGCTCGCTCTGCAGACTGAGGCTGTACACATCCAGTGTTTTGGCAAGCATGTCCGTCGTGTCCTGTGCACACTGAGCAAGTTGTGTTGTAGTTTTTACACTGCCAGTTTGTTTTATTAAAAACATTCGTCATAACTTTCAGTTCCGTAGGATGATGACGAAGGTGTAAGCTCCAATTGGGTTTTCTTTCATGTTTCTGCACACACAAGTTTTTTCAGGAGGTTGTCTTTGAACAGTGTCTCGTGTTTTAGAGGGCTCTCTAGCTCCTCGTCCTCGTCTGCTCACAGATTCCCTTTCTTCCACCTGAAATCCACCGGCTCTCCAGCTCTGTGCTGCGTGCTACCTGTCCGAGTGGAAACAATAGAGAGAGTTGTACAGCGCCAGAAACAGTTATGAATGTAATGAAAAGGACACACAGAGGTGAACATTTGTCTGTAAATCAGGAGGAGAAATGTGACTCTAGGAGGAAACCAGGAGGGCCATGAGATACGGGAGGGATAGCAAGGACGAGCTGACCTTGTTTGCTTCCGTACGACAGCGTGTGACGTCGTCTTATTCTTCTGCACATACGGGCCACTTGCAGGCCGGGGCCAATTAACATTTAAGTCTGCCATGGGCCACATTTAAACTATAATGTGAACTGGGCAACAATCTGAACTGAGCTTTAAGGCCTGCAGAGTGAATCAGTGACACACAGTCCAGAGAATCCGCCTGCCTGGACATCTGTGAGTGAAAGAGATCTTATTTCTGGTTGGTTTGTCCCTCGTCTCTCCTGGCAGCAGAGTTCTGGGTGTGCTGCTGCACCCAGACACACCTGTCAATCGTTCTGATCACCACCTGATGCACACCCTGTCCTACTTAAGCAAGAGATCGATGAGTCACCTACCCGATATCTCTAGACACGCCAAGTTCCAGTTTCCTGTTTTTGCTTTCCTGATTGTTTTTGCATGCTTCACTTGTGCCTTGCTTATTCGCTCTGTTCTCTGCCTCAGGGAAACAATCAGCCGCTCACTCGCTACCAGGCCTGCCAGTCACCTCGTTGTTCACAAAAACACACCGGACCACGTCTCCGTGGAGCCCAGCTGCCTGTTCCACTCTGGACCCCCCTCTTCAGCCCCAGGCCCTGCACAGTCCCTGACATACTGTGTCCGTCTGCTTTTGGGTTCAAGCCTGATATCAGACACATTATCTTATTATTGTGTAACCATCCATCATCTATAACCTTATCAGTGTAGGGTCGTGGGGGGTGGGGTTGTGGCCAATCCCAGCTGACAAGTTTACAGTTTACAGACGGTATTTTCTAACACATACTGCAAGTGCTGCAGATCACATCTGGCACCTCTTCACGCAGTATTTTGGCGGACATGTAGTTCATCTGATCTGGTCATACACCTGCCCCTCGCCGCCATTACAACGTCAGAAACTGTTGCAAACCTCGATTGGCTGAATATGTTTCCCAGCTCGGCTGTTAAAAAGCAGACAACTAGCTTTCTAGAGGGAGGATGTGCGTACAACCGCCATCTTTGGCATTATATTCAGAACAGATCTATTTATTCAGGATCTCAGCGTCTCTTTCCCTTAAACAGACACTGTCTCTTGGGATTGCCACATCTATCACTGCAGCCTTCTTCTGCTGTTTGTCGATCAACATGATGTCTGGTTGGTTAGCCATCACCAGTTTGTCAGTCTGGATCTTGAAGTCCCACAGGATCTTAGCTCGGTCATTCTCAACTACCTTAGGAGGCGTCTTCCATTTTGACCTTGGGACTTCCAGCCCATACTCATGGCAGATGTTCCTGTACACTATGACAGCTACCTGGTTATGGCGTTCATGTACGCACTTCCTGCCTGCATCTTGCACACTACAGGAACACTGAGCTAATGCTATTTTAGACAGTGTGGTTTATAGACTCCTCTGATAAACCTGAGAATAATGCAGAGCTCCATTGTCATGAATACTTTGCTGAAAATGGCCTATATGTGTCTGTACAGCTGGCTGGAGAAACAGTTCAGTTCAACATGCTTCAATGGCATGAATGTTTGTTGTCAAAGCAGAATGTCACATTTAAACAATACCCATAAATAATAAACCATAAAATGAAATTTAAAATGCCATATATCTTCCTTAGAAAATATTTCTTGCTTTTTGACATGCAATTGCTGTTCTAAGGAACAATTATTAAACTAACATAATGATAATAATGTGATATTTTACATTGTCATTTTACACAAACAACAACAACGATTCATTTTCTACGTCTGACTTCCCACAGGTAGAAAGTAATTTTGCTGCAATTATTTGGTATTTGGTTATTTCCCTCAGCATGTAGAGGAGCTTCTGTGTGTCTGATTTAGACTGCGTATCATTTAGGACATGAGGTGAGAAAGGTCAGCTCTGTCTCTACCTGTCCTCAGTCTCTGCTCGTCTGGTAGCCAGCTCTGTCTGTGGCCAGGCTGTGTTCACTCAGCCAACAAGTTTCTTAGTAATTCACTTTATTTAGCTCTCTGGACCTGTCTGACCATGTGAAAAATAAACCACCTTAAATCCAACGACAAATACTTCTGCACCACGCACATAAATCCCAGTAAAAAAGGAGAAAGTCATTTCACACCCATACTTCCCGTGTCCATAACATGAGGTCTGTGTTGAGCTGCCATGTTTCCAAACCTCACAAGCTCTTTGTTTGGTGTGAAATCCTTTTCATCTGCAACACAAAACATCATCCTGTGCCATGAAAAACATTAACACATCAAAGAACTACGGCAGAGTGTAAGTGACGATCTGATCCTCAACAGAGATGAACAAATCCAACAACATTATATTTAAATATGTAATATAATGTTAATGTAAATTTCTAGTCTCACTGAGTATGTGAATATACACTGCTCAAAAAAATAAAGGGAACACTAAAATAACACATCCTAGATCTGAATGAATGAAATAATCTCATTAAATACTCCTTTCTTTACATAGTCGAATGTGCTGACAACAAAATCACACAAAAATTATCAGTGGAAATCAAATTTATCAACCCATG